CCAGTTTTGCAGCATGATTTCTCGACTGCCACAAATACTGCCCTAACAAAATACTGATTTTGTGCACTTTTTACTTGTACCAATATTTTAAACTGGCCTTTGAACTTGGCTTTATAGCATGGCAAAAAAAGAATAATAATAATAATTTTAAAAAATTATTTTTCAAAAGCAGAACCCATTGATCTAACGGTGTTGTTGAGCGCTCCAAATGCAAATTTTGCATGCAACAATCTGGCAGCAATTGACAGTGCTCTGATCCAATGGAATACAGGCATCGTCAGATTGACAGTACTCTAGCCCAATGATGTTGGGGGATCCAGTGGGGGTGGCAATCATATTTCAGGGTGGCCGTGCCACTCTTTATCACAACCCTGCTAAAATGTAGTGCAAGTACTTGCGCTCATTGGCGGCCCCTCCTGCTGGTGGCACCCCACGAGACCGCCTAGCTTTCCTATGCCTAGAAACGGGCCTGGCTGTGATAATAATGTCTCTTGATTACCCAAAAACATATTAGAATTTCTGAAAGATTAGGTACACTGAAGACTGGAGTCATAGGCCCCGATTTCTTTTTCTGCCGGTGGGTGCTCGGCACACTGACACCCCAACACCCCCTCCCCACACCGCACCATGCCGATCCACCACCGAATCTATGTCAACATAGATTTTTTTTCCCCAACTTGCCATAAGCAAATTATAACTTAAAACATTTGATCAAACTGACAACAAACAATTCACCTTGCTCAGGATCTACAATGGGATATATAGGGCCTACACAAGAAATTCATAGAAAACTTATTGACAGCTTCTGTAAATATTGCACGCGTGTTCACTTACGATTGGCGTGACAAACTTACGCTTTTTCAGTTCTTCAGTTACAGAAATGGAGCTAGATGCAATAATTCACATGAATTCACATGAATTCACAATTCACATGAATCTAACTGATCAGTTACAAGTTATGCCAAATAATGTTTGTCAGGAGCTTCACTTTAACTTTTTTTAAAATACTTGTGTTTTATAAAGTTGTAAATGTACCAGTTTTAATAGTCATGTTCAAATTATTCCAATGAAATCTTGCTTAATAAAGTAAAGCATGAAGAATACAAGTTATGCCAAATAAATTTTGTCAGGAGCTTAAGATTAACTTTTTTTTTTAGATACTTATGTTTTATAAAGTTGTAAATGTACAAGTTATAATAGTCTTGTTCAAATTATTCCAAATAAAACTTTGCTTAAAAGCATGAACTACTGGTTTCTGTTCATCGAATACCTTTAGTATTTTAGTGGATTTTAGTGGATTAAATGTAATGTTTATATTTAGGGGTTTACTGTAAAATAAGGTAACCCAAACAGACAAATATATTAGCCCATATGTATACCTGTTGTGGCCCATAAGAGACCTACATAAGGCCTAGCTGGGTCCCATCACTAACCCATATAGGCAGACTCCTGTAGGCACCAAATGGGAGCTACTTTCACCTGTGGTTTAATTAGAAACACATACACCTTTTCATTTTTCAAAAAATCGTATAAAACATATCGACAACTTCTAAGAAAAATATTATGTATACTAAGCTTTAAATTACGACTGGCTAGAAACACATATTTTTTTCACATTTCTCCATATCTTCAGTTACAAAAACGGAGCTTAATCGCAAGAAATTTAAATTAAGCATATCGACAGCTTCTATAAGAATAGAATTCCTGTGTGTAATCTAGCCACAGGAGGTCAATCTAGCCACAGGAGGTCAAATCTAGCCACAGGAGGTCGAATCTAGCCACAGGAGGTCACAAGCCAGTGTACCTTTTGTGCCGGTCCCAAGCCCGGATAAATAGAGAGGGTTGTGTCAGGAAGGGCATCCGACGTAAAACTTTTGCCAAATTCATTATGCGAATCACGAACATGACTTCCATACCGGATCGGTCGGGGCCCGGGTTAACAACGACCGCCATCGGTGCCGTTGACCTACAGGGCACTGGTGGAAATTGGGCTACTGTAGGTCGAAGAAGGAGAGGAGGAAGGTGTGTGTGAGGAAAAAATCATGTGCTGCACTTTTTATTGATTTATCAAAAGCATTTGATTCTGTGAATCATGATCTTTTGTTGCAAAGGCTTAAATGTGTAGGTTTTAGTGATATAGTGTTGAAGTGGTTCAATCTAGCCACAGGAGGTCACAAGCCAGTGTACCTTTTGTGCCGGTCCCAAGCCCGGATAAATAGAGAGGGTTGTGTCAGGAAGGGCATCCGACGTAAAACTTTTGCCAAATTCATTATGCGAATCACGAACATGACTTCCATACCGGATCGGTCGGGGCCCGGGTTAACAACGACCGCCATCGGTGCCGTTGACCTACAGGGCACTGGTGGAAATTGGGCTACTGTTGGTCGAAGAAGGAGAGGAGGAAGGTGTGTGAGAGGAGGAAGGCGTGTCCGTAGGCAGAGAGAGAAGAGGAAAAGCAGGAGTTTAGGACTGAAAGTAGGGACTCTGAATGTTGGTACGATGACAGATAAAGGTAGGGAGCTGGTAGATATGATGCAGAGGAGGAACGTCGACATTCTGTGTGTCCAGGAGACCAGGTGGAAAGGGAGCAAGGCTAGAATCATTGGAGCAGGGTTTAAACTGTTTTATCATGGTGTGGACAGGAAGAGAAATGGAGTAGGAGTAATCCTGAAGGAGGAGTTTGTGAAGAATGTTCTGGAGGTAAAGAGAGTGTCAGATAGGTTGATGAGTCTGAAGCTGGAAATTGAAGGTGTGATGTTGAATGTTGTTAGTGCTTATGCTCCACAAGTAGGTTGTGAGCAAGAGGAGAAAGACAGATTCTGGAGCGAGCTTGAGGAAGTGATGCAGAGTGTTCCCAGAGGTGAGAGAGTGGTGATAGGGGCAGACTTTAATGGACATGTTGGTGAAGGGAATAGTGGGGGTGGGGAAGTGATGGGGAGGTTTGGTCTTCAGGAAAGGAACCCAGAAGGACAGAGGTTGGTAGACTTTGCTAAAAGTATGGAGATGGCTGTGGTGAACACGTACTTTCAGAAGAGGCAGGAACACAGGGTGACATATAAGAGTGGTGGCAGGAGCACACAGGTGGACTATATTTTATGTAGACGCTGTAATCTGATGGAGATTAGCGATTGCAAAGTAGTGGTAGGAGAGAGTGTAGCTAGACAGCATAGGATGGTGGTGTGTAAGATGACTCTGGTGGTGAGGAAGATGAAGAGAGCAAAGGCAGAGCAGAAGACAAAGTGGTGGAAGTTGGAAAAGGAAGAGTGTTGTGTGGTTTTCAGGGAGGAGTTGAGACAAGTTTTAGGTGGTGCTTCCAGATGACTGGACTACTATAGCCAAAGTGATCAGGGAGACAGGTAGGAAGGTGCTAGGTGTGTCATCTGGAAGGAGGAAAGAAGACAAGGAGACTTGGTGGTGGAATGAGGAAGTTCAGGAGAGTATCCAGAGGAAGAGGTTAGCTAGGAAGAAGTGGGACAGTGAGAGGACGGAGGAAAGTAGACAGGAATATAGGGAGATGCAGCGTGAGGTTAAGATAGAGGTGGCAAAGGCCAAACAGAAAGCTTATGAGGACTTGTATGCAAGGTTAGATAGTAAGGAAGGTGAGAGGGATTTGTATCGGTTGGCGAGGCAGAGGGATAGAGATGGAAAGGATGTGCAGCAAGTTAGAGTGATTAAAGATAGAGATGGAAATGTGTTGACAGGTGACAGGAGGGTGAGGGAAAGATGGAAGGAATACTTTGAGGAACTGATGAATGAGGAAAATGACAGGGAGAGAAGAGTAGTAGAGGCAAATATTGTTGAGCAGGAAGTAGAAAGGATTAGCAAGGGTGAAGTTAGGAGAGCTTTGAAGAGGATGAAGAGAGGAAAGGCGGTTGGTCCTGATGACATACCAGTGGAGGTATGGAAGTGTCTAGGAGAGATGGCAGTAGAGTTTTTAACTAGGTTGTTCAACGAGGTCTTAGAGAGTGAGAGGATGCCTGAGGAATGGAGGAGAAGTGTTCTGGTGCCGATTTTTAAGAACAAGGGAGATGTGCAGAGTTGTGGGAACTACAGAGGTATTAAGCTGATGAGCCATACAATGAAGTTGTGGGAAAGAGTAGTGGAAGCTTAGTGGAAATTAATGGCGCATATCTGGCATTTTTCCGTGGGTGCTCGGGCATGCACGGGATTGGCGCCTATGACTGAAGTAATGGCTGCTGATAATTTAGCGTTGATATGAGAGAGTAAAATAGACAAACAAATGGATAGAAATACAAAGGCACAGAGATGGATGAATAGACAGATACATAGTACAGATACACTGTAAATTCTAACAAGTTCAGTTTACTTAAAAAAATGTTTGGAAAAAGATTGCTTTATTTTTGGAAAGCAAATTTAAAGGAAAAACAAAGAAAGCAAACTCTTCGCAAATAAAAAAATATCAAGTTTAATGTCAATTCTAGTTAAAATACTCTAGAATATTTACTAATCTACTTAAGATATAATAGTAAGAGTACTTTATTAATTACATGTATCTAACAGTGTTATTGTGTGTTCTGCAAACATCTTAAATGCTGTTATTCTCAACATGGGTTTAATCTGCTATTTTAAGATTTGGGGACTTCCACATTTTCTTCAAGTAAAGTGAACATATGTTTAGCAGTTCAACCAGCATGGAACACAATTACACAAGTTTGAAATTCTCTACAGTTTATTTTTGTAAAAAAAAAAAAACGCTAGAAAACTTAAAGTATATCACAATAATAAAACTATGCTTTTAAAACATCTGAGTACTTATAAGACTTTTTACAGACCTCTTGACTAAACAGCACTTTGCTCTCATAACATTATCTGGACCTACTGGAGCACTGTAAACAAAATAATAATAAAATACAGAGCATTCTCAGAACTGTATGCAAACAGAACAGCAAAATAAAAAGACAGGCCTTTACAACCCATCCATGACAATTTTTCCCTCCAACATGATTGCCTTTATTGTGTCCGCAATGAGGGCATATCTTCTGGTAAAACTGTGAGCAGGCCTACATCCTACGTCACTGAAGTCTGCATCTACATCAACATCCTAAGTAGAGAAAGAAAAATAGGTACAATGTGAATTTATTTCTTTTTTTTTTCAGTTATATTTATGGCCTTTTTATGCCTTTATTGGGAAAGGACAGTTGAGCGATGACAGCCAACTACTGGGTGGAAAGAGGGGAAGGGGATCGGCAAAGGACCTTGATATGGGAATTAAACTCGGGTCGCCATATTTCGACGCACTAACCACAAGGCTATAGATGCAGACACAATGTGAATTTCTTCTTCATTCCAATACTGGAAACATTCTTTAAAAAAAAATACAGTGACCAAGGGCTGTTGTCAAAAATGCTTTTACTTTACAAAATGCTTTCACTTTACAAAAATGCTTTTACTTTAAGCAACTTCTTTGTGCTTGATTCATATTGATGATCAGAGTGAGTGTACAGTGATCTGCACAAACATCATGCACAAAGAAATGTAATCAAGCTTTAAATTATGATCACCAAAGAGAGATAATGAGATTTATAGTATAAGAGTTACAAAATAGAACACATTTCAGAAGACAGAGCATAAAGGTGTTTTATCATTTTTGCTTGAATTATTCCTTTAAATTCAGTTTTGTGGGCCTACTGCATGCCTTCAGAAGACTTGTAATATTACACACAAGTTCAATGGAATATGTTATTGTACTTGTACATTGTTCTCAATTATTAACATTATAGAAGTAAATGTAGAGAATTTTTTTTTTACAATATGCTATTTGTACTGTATGACCTACCATTTAGATTTTAGAGAGCATCATCTCCTTTGACATAGAGTGATGGATTACACCCATCATTTACATGATTTTATCTTAATTCAAAGTGTGTAAAGTGTGTAATGCTGACAAGTTTGTGATCAGTCAACACAATTTTATCAATTTAAGGCATTTAAATCAACAATTTCAAAAATCTGAATTGTTTCACGAGACAAATATAGTATCTACTGCAAAACTGCAAACAAAATGATGATAATAAGAGCAGAAACATCAATAACAATACTTACAAAGCACATCCTGTAAAATTCCTCTGGGTCATCCTCCAAGATGACTGGAAGACCCTGAAATACCGCGGTGTAAACATCAGATGACTATGAAAAAGAAGAGACTATTTATTTAATTGTTAATTTATTTATTTAGTAAGGTACAATACACATTAATAATACACACAACGTAAAAATGTGTCAGATTTATCCAAATTGGCTAATTTTCATCCATAGTCCCTTATATGCTGAGAGTATCAATCATATGCAAATCATAATTTAAAGATGACAGCAGTCAACATGATAAAGGAATACCTTTTAATCAACTTCAACTTTCAAAAGTGCAGAGTGCGTGTCCAATGCTGCGCAGAACTCAGATCCAAGATATGCAACTGAATTCTGCAAAGATCTAAGAACAAACATGGAGTGGTTATTAACTGTTACGTGCATCTGTGTAACTTTTATTCTGAGTCCCTAAGTGGCGTTAAGAGGGAATTTTTAACTCGTGGGAGCTGTGTGACATCATCTGGGATTCCTGATAAATAGCCATTGGTGGTGACAATGGCGTGTCTCTCTCTCTCATTCTAATTGTTCCTCACGGTTGCCTCTCTCTTTGCTTTCCTGGAGCCATTCAGTCTATTTTGTTATAGTTTAATTTGTGTTTTTATGCATTTGTTGATTCTTTGAGTAATCTGGTATTTAGTGTTCTTTGTTGTTTTTTTTGTTGTTTTTTTTCTAATCAGTAACGGGTAGTGGATTTATTTTTTAGCTCACACTTTGGTTATTTAGTAAGCATAGCGAGGGAAGCAGAGGCCCGGAAGACTCACCTGTTTTATTTTATGGGGAGTCAGGTAAGATTTGCTGGTGAGAACATCCCTATAGCCCCCCCAAAAAAATTTCCTTGGTGGAAATTTCGGGTTCTGAGGCCCTCCGTGGGCCTGACTTGGGAACTGTGGGCCTCCCTGGACTGGACTTGGGAACAGGAACCCTCTCTGGGGTGGACTTGGGAAAAGAGTCTCTCTCTGGGCTGGACGTAGGAACTGGAGCCCACTCTGAGCTGGACGTGGGAACGGGAGCCCTCCCTGGGCTTATCTTGGGAACAGGAGCTTTCTCTGGGCTTAACGTGGGAACAGGAGTTCTCTCTGGGCTTAACTTGGGAATGGGAGCCCTCTCTGGGCTGGACGTGGGAACAGGAGCCCTCTCTGGGTTTAACTTGGGAGCAGGAGTCCTCTCTGGGCTTAATTTGGGAACAGAGTCTTTCTCTGGGCTTGACTTGGGAACTGGAGCCCTTTGACACCGGAGGATACCTTCCCTCCAGCTCAGTCCAGTGGTGTCTGGTAAGTCCACAGGGTGATGGTAGTTGGCCCCGATCCAGAACAGCAAATTCAGCGTGGCATCATCCAATGCCGTCATCGCCGCGAGCCTGCAGTATTCCCGGGCGAATTCCACAAAGGGAAGATCCTTACGGGCTAGGGCGGCGAATCTTGCAGCGGTTTCCATCACTGTTTGCAGGTCTAGTGTTCTGTCACGCGGCGGCTGCTGTGTAGGAACGAGGAGTGAAGGAGCGAGGAGATGTAGGAGTATCGACGAAGAAACAATCTTTAATACTTCAAACAAGGGACCACACATGTAGCACAGGAGATTAGACGTTTAACACTAGACGCTGGACAAAGGAAAACACAGGGCATAAATACTACGTACTAAACTAGGAAGCTTACAAGAAACACCTGGAACGAATAAACATAATTAACACAAGGGAGAAACTAGGTCACAGGGAGAACATGGAGCACGTGGAGGAGGAAAACAAACACAAAACAGTCCATGGGCGTAACACCTATAGTGCACATCTGATGCGATCCTGTAGCTGATGGCTGCATGGTTAGAATTTTATCTCTAATAGTATCGATCTTGGCAGTAAGTTCATAAAGTCATAACCGCTGTGCTGTTGGGAAATGTCTGCGACTGTTGATGCTTTATTTGTCATCAATTTAGCCACTGTATTGAATAAATGCCTGGGGTTGTGTTTATTTTCTTCTAAAAAGACGAAAAGAAAGCAGATCTAGCAGTTTTAGAGCTTTTCTATATGTAGAATTACTTTCCCTCCATGCAATACGAAATACCTCTAGTTTTGTTTTCTTCTACTTGCACTCCATTTTCCGGGCTGCTCTCTTTAAGGCAGGAGTGTGCCCATTGTACCACGATGTCAGACTGTTTTTGCTTAATCTTCTTTAAGCGTAAAGGAGCTAGAAAAGAGAGAGTCCATAGTTTCTGTTACAACATCAAGTTTTCTGAGCTATTGGATTTGCTGAGGAATTGAGACAAGTCAGGAAGATTATTTACAAAGCAGTCTTTTGTTGTAGAAGTGATGGTTCTACCATATATTTAGTTGAGTTCGCAGCTTTAGCTATATAGAGTATAAATGAGACTAGATTATGATCCGGAATAACCATCCCTCTGCTACAGAATTTCAACCCCATTAACATCAATTCCATGTAACAGTATTAAATCTAAAGTATGATTACGACACTTGTTGTCTGACCCCAGTAGAGTTCAGAATGTCTATAAATGCTGATCCCAATGCATCTTTTTCATTATCAACATGGATATTAAAATCTCCAACGATTAAGACTTTATCTGCAGCCAGCACTAACTCAGAAAATCAGCAAAATTAGTGACTTTTATCCTGCACCAGCAAACACAAAGCTATGCAATGTGAGAAACAGACTGAAATATTAGTTTTTTTTTACTTTTAATCATCCCCTTCACCATCCAAATCTCCAACTCATTCAAAATATGTCACCTTGAGAGGCATTACAACAGGTCATATACCAGTGATTGCTCTCTCTCGCATGTCTTGTGACCAAGTGTGACGTGTTAACATTCACTTTGAAGTTGATCAGTCCTGGTTATCAGTTTATTCTATCACAGCTTGCAGAGGTACTGTCTGTTTGTGAAATGTGTCTCTGCACTTGACAAACATTATACAATTATAATTTGTATTTTGATTCTGTGCCTGTCTATCTGCAGTCACGCAACAGTGAGCAGCTGCCATTGTAAGCACAAGGTAAAAATGTGATTAGTGCTGACCTATTTCAGATCCTTGCATGTTTTATTGACTCAAACTGCTCCTCATTTGTGTGTTGGTCAGTGTATATGTGTGTTTGCCTACTCATCAGAGATAATTTTGGACTCACTGCTGCTGCACTGCGGTTTGGATTTTTATTATTAAGCGTTCCAAGACTCTGCCTCAGGTTTACTGCTGTGGTTAGTAAATGTGAAGGACTTTATGCAGTGTAGTTTGTTTCTGATTATTGATTCACTAATTTTGTAGGGTCATCCTCTTGAATGGGCATGGGGCAATTTGGGGCACATCCTTGTATGGTCAGCCCTGACTTTCCTGTGTCTTCAAATTTATTACAAGTGGAACATGTTCCTAAATCAACATCCTTATTAGTTCTGGTACAACATTCCTCTGAACCAATCAGATTTTTAGGGTTAGGATGAGGGCTAATGCCATGGTCAAGCTTAGAGCTATAGTTAGGGGCTTATAGACCATTCTTATCAACCTATCATTTGATTTTATGGGTAGGTTATGGTTAGGGTTCAAATTAGGAGTATGTTTCTTTCACATGAATGCTGTTCAACAAAGATGTTGATCCAGGAACATGTTTTACTTGCAGCAGACAATAATTGCACTTGGCAATTTTGATTTTATCAAAAGTGTCTTACATTGCACTCAAAGTATACATATTATCTGTCTATGCATTTGCTGGGTATCATGTTCATGACTTTGAGCTATACTAATGTGCCCTTTACACTATGTCTGTCTTTAGGAAAAGGCATTAGGCAGCTTGTCTCCCACAGATTTTTTTGTAACAACACAACACTGTATCAATTCACCTGTTATTTTTACAGCTTAATGTTGAGCCAAGAAACTAAACTAACCATCACTTTCTTGATAGGTGTGGCAAAAGTCCCAGCTGTTTGGCAACTTCCCATTGTGGGTCCAATGTCCAATCTCCCCTACAAACCAAAAGCAAGTTAAAGTGTATCATCAGCATCTGTTACACACTGTGAAATATTATTCTTGTTTTACCCTGTTTAATTGAAAGTATTTTTTTTCTACACTTCTTTAAGCCAGTGAAGGCACAAGTTGTCCAGTGCTCTTTTGGGTGCGTGTCTAGCAGTGTTAATTTCGTTGACGAATAATTTTCGTCACAATTTTCGTCAACTACATTTTTTTCACCAATGACAACGAGACGATAATGAACTAAAACTCTATTTGAATGACACATTTTCGTCAACGAATAAAAACGAGACGAAAATGTTACGGAGGGACGATTTGGGAATAGATTAATTCAATTTCAGAACGAATCTGCTGCGTGGTTCGGAGGTTAGATGCATACATATGAACCGGCGGGACATAAGCTAACTAACATACACTTGCTGCATGTCGCATAAAACGTTCAAAAATGTCAATATGTGGGAGTAAGAGAAGAGCAGACATATGGATAAATCTGAAGTCGCAAGAGAGAACTCAATTCGGTCCGGTTTTCTGAGCACAGACCTGGCACAGACACTGAAGCATACTACACAAACAGAAAGCGCATCTCACAGCGCGCGAGTACTCTTTCATGTTGCATGAGCGGAGAATTACACACAAAATGATGTAGAATTGTCCGTTTTGACGAGTATTCACGTAAACAAGATCTGTGAAGTTGCAAAGACTAAAGTCTCAAACCCACAGAGATATTCTTTAAAAAAAAGTTAAGAGTCATCCACGCCCTCCTAAAACGCCTTGTTTAAACACGCCCTCACATGTCTACGTTACTGTGTGGGAAGATTTGCATAACGCCGCCCAAATGTTCACGCAAAGAAAGAAGGCGTAACTTTTATTCTCGCTGTAGTATTGTTGCCACTACCGCCATGTCGTGGAGATACTGTGTGTTTCATGCCTAGAGCTGATCCGTGCTGGTCGCTGAGGAAATACATCAACTTCGCGCTGTCAATCGCCGGATCGGCTTTCATCGTGGATGAAGCGGAGTCCAGCCAGGGGTCGTCACATGTGGTTGCGCAAGCCTCCGTCGTCGAATCCGCCGGGCGCCGCTCACTTAAGCCGCTGTGTGTTTCGTTCTGAAAGTGAAACTACTTTGTTTGGCCTTCCAAAAGAGGACATAATGTTTCTATAAAGTGGGGCAGTTCCAACTTTGCAAGGACAGTCTGGCGCTTCTGACTCACAGCCTGTAAGTACGTTTTTTATATTTAAAGAATTTGCCACTGATGATTCAAACGCGAGTTTGAGCAGTGTAGAGTAGCGCTTGTTGTTTGTCATTTCTCCGATCACAAATGCAGACATGGTTTTATGTTTACGCGGCACAATGCGCAACGCAAAACGTAAAAACACAGTATAAGTATATGTCCCCACTGGAAGCAACAAATGCCTCGTTTGTAATGGGTAGAAGACCATGTCTTTGAAGTGGTTTTATTTAATTTTAACATAAAGGCATGTTGTGTGTCACTGCAGTTAAATCATGATAAAACCTTAATATCAAACCTATATCATGAGTTTGGAAATATTAGAGAAATGCTTAATAAATGCACTGTAACTAAACCCATTAGATTTTAGCCGACTAAATTTACTGTAGATTTAGTCGACTAAAATCTTATGATATTTAGTCGACTAAAACTAGACTAAAACTAAAAACAATTCAGATGACTAAAATATGACTAAAACTAAATGGCATTTTAGTCAAAAGACTATGACTAAAACTAAATCAAAAGTTGCAGTCAAAGTTAACTCTGGTGTCTAGGCTCACTAAGAATAATATTTTTAATGGAGGATTTTCTCACACTAGACTCTGAGACTACTTTGCAGTGTGACAACTACAAGCCAAAAGAGTGATGAAATCCTACCTGAACCAAATAATTGGTTCGTCAGGATGACTAGAAATTTTCAGGCAGGTCTGTTTTGGCAGGTTGGCACTAAACTCTGTGGGACATTGACCAGGATTGGACAACCCCGCCCCCTACAAACACACCTGATTCAACTCATTACATTGTTCATAGAGACTGAAATGGGTGTGTCAGATAAAAGAGACATCAGATGTTTCTTAATTGGAAGATTGAGTCCTAGTAAGGCTGTATGTCTTGGCTGCCATTAAAAAATATATAAAAATAATAAAAAATTGTTTTTGGTGATGGAGGCATTGTTTTCTTTTGTTGTGATGTAAATGAATCACATAATGCTAAACTACTAATGATGTAAATCACTAGGAGACCACAGAGCATTTTTCAATGAGACTTGCTTGTGTCATTCTAGCTCGGGTGACCGTAAGACCTCTTTTTCTAAATTGCTTAAAATGTCTGGGTTTTGGCTTTGTTTTCCTGTTGCTTTCATACTTGCTGAAGGTAATAACAGAAAAGTAGTTTAGCATACAGGCATTGTACATTATGCACAAATCGTGGCATGCTATTAGGTGGAATCTACATAGAATGAAAAGCAATGCAAATACACATACATCAAAGACAAAACCCAGACATTTTAGGCAATTTAGAAATCCCAGCTATATAGGACATATCCAGGGAAAAGAGAACTTATGGTCACCCAAATTTTAGCATTCAATGCTGAGAAGGAGTCTAGCTTAGAAGCATCAGAAGGACTGGACAAGGAAGGATGCATTGCTAGGATGCAACCATCTGATTGAGAAGCAATCATCCAAAATGTGTACTGTTAAGGGTACTCCAGGTAGAGATTTGAGAAAGACTGATTTATGGTATAAGTTGGTACTGTAGATGGTTTCGAACTTGAGCTGCACTGCTGTTTTTGTCTTTATTTGTTTATTTATGTATTTATTTTAGTTTGTTCATCATTTCAATGATTTTTATTTTGGTCCTTATATTCTATCTCTGCTTTACAATAGATTTTTGTTTTGCGTGTTTTCTTTCTTTCGCAGTGTTTCTTCTGCATTATATATTTATACCAGTTTAATACTGTGTAATGTGGTCAGTGTGGCTTTTTGGATGTAGGCCTACATGCCTGCAGGGTCAGAATACATCAAAATGTATTTTAAAATAAAATACCAAATACCTTAATTTTAAGTATATCAAAATAAACTTCAAAATACAGCAACCACACCAAGTATCAAAATAAACTTATTTAGTAGTATTTTTTGTAGTTTAAAAATACTAAAAAATACTTTTACAAGGGAGCATGACATTTCTTTGCAAACCTTCCATAAATTGGCCTATTTGATCTATCCCTTCACCATTGTACAAGTGAGCATGACATTTCTTTGCAAGCCTTCCATAAATTGGCCTATTTGATCTATCCCTTCACCATTACACTGACTCAGTTGATTAAGTAAACAATGTTTGATAGCAACAGCTTTTCTCTGCTCGAGTCATGCAATAAATCTGACATATGCAACCAGTTAACAGATCAAATATTTACATATCCCTGTGATCACCCAGAAGAAGGTTAGTTTTAAAGTAACCAACAGTTTAATGTTTAACACTTTGCAAATGACTCCTAAATACTAATTTAGTTACTTGATGTTTGGTAATGAAGGGCCTACATTGCATCAGTTTTTCATCTACATGTTTAAAATAGCTAGAAATGACATCATGATGGGGAATGTTGAAAGACTTTATTCCAATGCACTTTATTCCAATGAGGGTACTGCTCCAGTGACAAGCTTTTGTACTCCTAAACATACAATTTTTGCACATCCCTTTATTTCTGTTATTTCATTTATTTGCAGCAAACGAGAGCAATGTAGATATATCTGTTGGTATGCCTTTTTTGCTGCATTACTGAAAAGGTAACTGCTAGAATTTCTCTCCAAGGAAATAAACATGTATTTTGTCAAAAAAAATTTTTTTATCAAATAATGGAATTTATCAGTAGCCCCAAATCAAGCAATGTGACAGGTGGTATTGTGCAAAGCAAACTGACATAAGACTTACAGGTAAGCTAGAGACTGCTTTATATTGACTGCCATGTTGACAAGCCTCTGTAATTGGATAAAAATTGTATAAAAAATATTTTGAAAGAAAATAAATTTGATTACCTGATTAGTTCTTGCACAAAATGTGTAATATCCATCTTAAGTAATTTGACTAACACTAAAGGATAAATGTATGACATTTTGGATGATAACATCACTAATTTTCACTGTATCGTCTAATTTTATTATGAAGATAATGCACTTTGTTAATATTATTTATTGCCTATATAAGCAAACCAATTACCCAGAATGCAAGCACATTTGCATCATATACCCACACACTGTTTTTAGCACTGGGTTTAAATATCTGAATTAGTAAACCTGGATTTCTAATTATTTTTATACGTGTACATTTGTACATGTTAAGGAAACAAAAACAAAAAGAATTTACAAAAATGTATAGCTAGTCTGAGAAAAATATTTTGTCTTTGTTTAAAAAAAAGCACATACACATGAACTTATGCCTGACGCGCATGAGCAAATTTTTTTGATGTCTGTGTCTATTGATATTCAAACCCCCCTTGGAAATGTCAGAAATCCTAAATGGGCACCTCTGAACACAGACAGAGTAACGATCAATTCTTGGACTGTTTCACCAATACTTCATGAAAGTGAAAGTGAAAGATTGGTCCAGGTCTTGAAAGCAGGTGTCAGTAAGCCTTATATATTTATTTATATATTGATTACACCTTTCAGACATCAGTGCTTCAAAAGGAGGTTTTGATATCTTAAATAAAATGAATGTGGTCAAGTAATGTGATTCAGACAGCCCACGGGTAATGAAGGGCCAGAATAATTTAAAAGAAATAATCAGAAGTATTAATTGTATTGCTTTTTTCACAGAGTACGAGTATGTGCACATATCACTGTGTCATCAGATGTAGTCTGACATGCATACATCATGCACACTTTTGCTTTGTAATCTGTTTATCTTGTATATTATGTATTTCCTCATTTTCTTCTATGGAAAACTGGGGATGGTTGTAATACAATCATCTTAACTAGAAAGTTTATGCACAAGGATTAAATTATCAAAATTACCACCATTCTTCTGAAGTGACATTTGAAGTTGCAAGCATCTGTGTACAAACAGGATTTACAGAACACAAAAATGAGGTAAAAAATCAACATTTCACATCTTAATTTTATTGGTGATATAACATTTAAAATTCAAAACTGACAAAAAAAAACAAAAATGGTATTATTGTAATGCTAGTTGTCACGCAACGTGTAGAGGAAAGGCACACGAAGAAGAAGGTCATCTACACGAGTTTAATAGAATCCAAGAAGATGATAATACATGAAGGCAAAGGGAACACGCAGCAAAAACAACATCAATACCAAACAAACTAAAGGAAAAACAGAGGAACTTAAATAAACAGACCAAAAGAGGTTAATTAACTAACACAGGTGAACTAAATAAACTAATCAAAGGACGAAAGAAACTAGGTCAACGGAAATAAAATGAAAACAAACTAACAGTCCATGATTGTGACTAGGGATGTAACGATTAACCGCGAGCCGGTTGAAAATCAATTTAAATATGTGACGATTCAAATCGGTTGAGATGCTAAACAAATCGCGATTCAGTTAGGGGTAGGAGTTTATATGAATGTATGTCTGAGAGGAACTTACTGTCTTTCGATGGTATTTTTTATTTTCCTCTTGCCTCTGTATAATGCATATCAGGGCCCCAAGTCTCATTCTTCCCACTGGTCGCTCTTTTGCAACTAACTTACTTTTCTTTTCTTTTTTTTTGCGCTACAACATGGGATTATTCAATGCATGCTGATGAACTTTTATCATAGTTTATAGTTATATGGAAACGAAAGTTGTTAACATTCAACCCGTTCTTTATCATCAGTAGTATTATTTGTGATTTGA